TTTTTAAATTAAAATAGGTGAATGAAGAAGTAAAGAAAAAATAAAATTTCGTATAAACAAAATATATATTTTGAAGTACGAAGATTTTCATAAATTTTTTTATTTTTAAATTAGGATATTCACATATTCAATATATGTGATAAAAATAAAGAATATTTTGATACTTTATTGTAATAATATAATGGATGTAATTAAAAATGTGCGTACTTAAAAATTCAAGACGAATCGATTAGGTATCCTAATATCAATAAGATTTTGATAGCTCTAATTATCTAAATATTACATTAATTATTTAAATAATCCTATTTAATTACTTGACTACATTTGAGTAATTGCTGCAGAAAAAAGAAAACTGATATAAATTTTGTATTAATAATATTTGATTATAAAATCAAAATAAGATGAAAAAATGAATAAAATTTTAATCTCATTGTTATCGGTTCGATTCGTCTTGAACAGTTGATACCTGAGAATTTTTGTACTCACATATATAATAAATTATAATGATGTATGTATTTTATTACTTTGAAATATAATCATTTGTAATTATCCTTCGATAAACATTATTCTATCCATGTTTTTTTATTTTGTTAAGATATTGTATTTCGTAATATAAAGAATATATTTTTGCGTGCAAATCTTAATCTTGTGTACTATAAAATTGTAATTAATATCGATTAAGTTAAAATATTCAATAATTTTATAATATTTGCATTATTTGCAAAAATTTGGAAAAGGGTAACAATTGTTAATTCATTACTAAGATGGGCGCTATTATAAGAACAGTCCGAAAAATTTGGGATTGGTTTTCTCCTGCAACGGAGGTCTTGTCCAAATTACTTAACTTTCTTTTGCATTGATGACGTGAAACTTGACGAAAAGCAGAGCACAGTTTGCTCTCCATGGAGATCATTCTTCTTTCTATTGGTTATTATCCAACGTCTTACTCGGAAAGATCTGGTCTCATTGTTGAACTAGTTATTTTCTATTTAACGTAGTGTTTCCTCGCAATTTTTTAGAGACTCATAAAATTATCTCTCTGTTAAAAGTAAAGCGAGAAATAGAATTTATATATATGTGTGATTTGGTTCATTCCATTATATTATTTGAATCATAGATGCGATATTACAACATATTTAAGTTGTTAAATAACATTTTTATTATCATATAAAGAAATAATAATTATAGAAGACACATTGCAGAATTAAAAATTATATGTATTGGAATTGATTAGATCGT